TAAGGTATTGGGTATGAAGACTCCTTTCTCTGTTTTGTGTCCCACTCTTCTAGAATTTCCTCTTCCCCCACGGGTTTTTGGTTGTACATGCTTCATACATGTGAAGGATCCAAAGAAAACCAAGCTGGATCCCAAGGCTACAAAGGGAATATTTTTGGRGTACTCTCCTACACAAAAGGGATACAAGTGTTATGATCCTGTCTCCAAGAAAAAGTATGTCACCAAAGATGTAGTCTTTTTTGAGTCTCAACCCTATTTCCAGTCTTCTCAGAATCCTCTTCAGAGGGAGACTAGTGGGTTGGAAGAGGATTCTCATTCTCCCTTCTTTTTTTTTCTCATTTCATCACCTTCCACTACTCCTAGCTATGACATTTCGGGTCAACCTAGTAAGGCTCCCACTGTGCCAGTTACTTTTCCTAATACAGCAGATGCTCCTGAAGGTTCCAGTAGGCAAGAGAAAGAGATACTTATATACAGTAGAAGGAAGAAGGGCCCTCAACCTCATGATTGCAACCAGTTGAACTTAGATCAATCTCTCTGCAATCCAAGGTAATTCTGACTCACACACTTCGGATTTGGATCTTCCTATTGCTCTCCATAAGCCTATTCGTTCTTGTACCATCTGGCATCCCATAGCTGATTTTGTTTCTTACTCACATTTATCTCCTGCCTATCACTCCTTTGTATCTGCTCTTTCCTCTGTATGTGTCCCTTCCAGGTACTCAGAGGCGGCATCTGATCCAAGGTGGAAAGAAGCCATGAATGAAGAGATGAAAGCCCTAATGAAAGCAAGAATGTGGGAATTAGTGGACCTGCCAGAGGGGAAAGGCATTGTTGGGTGCAAGTGGGTATTCACRGTAAAGCACAGGGAAGATGGGTCAATCGAAAGGTACAAGGCCAGACTTGTGGCAAAGGGATTTACACAAAAGGAAGGAATTGACTACAAAGAAATCTTTGCCCTAGTAGCAAAGCTCAACACAATCAAGGTTTTACTATCACTAGCAGCAAATTTCTCTTGGGAACTTCATCAGCTGGATGTGAAGAATGCCTTCCTAAATGGTGATCTTCATGAAGAGGTATTCATGGAACCTCCACCAGGCTATGATGTTGGAAAGAGGGTGTGTAAACTAAGGAAAGCATTATATGGTTTGAAGCAGTCTCCCCGAGCATGGTTCGAGAGACTTTGTATGGCCATTAAGAAAGTGGGGTACACTCAGAGCAGTGCAGATCATACATTGTTTACAAGGAGACAGGATGACAAACTTACGGMACTCATTGTTTATGTGGATGATATGGTGATTACCRGAAATGACTTGGAAGAGATGAAGAGGCTGAAGGAGTTCTTAGCTTCAGAATTTAAGATCAAAGACCTGGGAAATCTGAGATATTTTCTTGGGATTGAAGTTGCTAGATCAAGAGAAGGAATCTACATATGTCAGCAGAAATATGTGCTAGATCTCCTAGAGGAAACGGGCATGATGGGGTGCAGGCCAGCAGACACTCCAATAGAACCGAACCATGGACTACAAGAATCAATGGGTGAGGAATACTGTGATAAAGAGAGGTACCAAAAATTGGTAGGAAAGCTGATATATTTATCCCTTACTCGGCCAGACATTGCCTATGCAATGCATGTTGTCAGTCAATTCATGCACTCACCAAATATCCCTCATATGAGAGCAGTGGAAAGAATTCTCAAGTACTTGAAGATTTGCCCAGGGAAAAGAATTCTATTCAGGAAAAACAACAAACTTAAAATTGAAGCCTACACTGATGCAGATTGGGTTGGGTCTGTTGGAGACAGAAAATCAACCTCAGATTACTGTACATTCTTGGGAGCAAACCTGGTCACATGGCGCAGTAAGAAGCAAAATGTAGTGGCTAGATCAAGTGCAGAAGCAGAATACCGAGCTATGGCACACGAGGTTGCTGAACTCTTATGACTCAGAACTCTTCTTAATGAGCTTGGTATTAAGGCTGAGGGTCCTCTCAGGCTGTATTGTGATAATAAAGCTGCTATCAACATTGCCAACAATCCCGTGCAGAATGACAGGACAAAACATTTTGAAATTGATCGACACTTTGTCAGAGAGAGAATTGT